AATGTAATAACTCCTGTTTAGAAGCTGTTATTTGAAAGATTATTTTTTCTGGTACTTTTTGGCATGTAGTGGCATCAAACAAAGTAAATTGCAGAGAGCTGGACCTAATAGAACCTGAATTACAGAATTTCAAAAAAATAATTTGTTTTAAAACTCCAAAAAGCGCCTATGTTTTTTTGTGTTTATTGTAATATTTGAAAAATATATAATGTTATTTATAAAGAATTACACTCATATTTTGAAGTTCAAATGGTTTTCTTTACAATGAAACCATTTTTTTTTCATTTCCTCCATTGTATGTGTGTAGGGTAAACATTTGAATTTGAGTATGTCAAATTTAGGCGAAAATACCAAAAAACGCACCCGAGCATAAGTGGTTTTAACATTCTATTTAATAAAGCTATTCCTCAGAATTCTTGGTTGTGGTTGGCAAAACAGAAACTCATGAAGTCAGACAGAATACATTTTTCAGTATAATGTACTGTATAAACTTTCTTTCTGAGGATCCTCAAATGCAAACTGTGTGTATTTTGCATTGTACATTTGTGTTGTGTTTTACTTTCTTTGTGTTATATTAATTTATTCATTCATTTATTCTTCAATAAGAGATACGTGAGAATGTTTATAGAAACTCAAGGTTTATGGAATGTTGTTGTGAAGCAGTTTGGTATAACAGTACTTGTTGAATTTGTGGCAATGGCATGATTTGGCATGATCTAACGTTAAAATCAGACAACAAATCTCATTGGGCAATCTCCCTCAATCTGGGTTTGTGGGTTTTGTTTCGTCGTCAGTGGTATGAAGTTTAGGGAAATAAAGAAAAATGTCAAAATGTTTGTTACATACAGAACCTACGTATATACACACACACACACACACAAACCATCCAGACGGCCATCAACCTGACCATCTTACCATTCCGACTTCCTCTTAATCCTCTTCCTGCTCATCCTTAACATTCTATTTAATAAAGCTATTCCTCAGAATTCTTGGTTGTGGTTGGCAAAACAGAAACTCATGAAGTCAGACAGAATACATTTTTCAGTATAATGTACTGTATAAACTTTCTATCTGAGGATCCTCAAATGCAAACTGTATTTTGTGTTGTACATTTGTGTTGTGTTTAACTTTCTTTGTTTTATATTCATTTATTCATTCATTTATTCTTCAATAAGAGATACAAGAGAATGTTTATGGAATGTTGTTGTGAAGCAGTTTGGAATAACAGTACTTGTTGAATTTGTGGCATTGGCATGATTTGGCATGATCTAACGTTAAAATCAGACAACAAATCTCATTGGGCAATCTCCCTCAATCTGGGTTTGTGGGTTTTGTTTCATCATCAGTGGTATGGAGTTTAGGGAAACAAAGAAAAATGTCAAAATGTTTGTTACACACAGAACCTATGTATACACACACACACACACACACTAAAACTGTATATTTTCTAAGCCATTTGGTTTATGAGGACAGAGGAAGTGTACACTTCACGTTCATTTTAATAAAGTTAACTTTATTTAATTTCAATAATATTTTCCAAGGATACTTTATAAAAGAAGTATACTAATATCAATGTGGGGCTGTCAACTTTCACTGATTCAGTGTGAGACTCAAGCACTTGACAATTCTCACGCTTTTACGACACACATTCTCATGCAGTGCAATTGATGTGACATCTGTCTCTATGAGTTCTTGTTTTTTTATATTTAGAACATTTAGAACACCTAATGGCAGTTTTAGTTTCTTATTTAAACACATTTATTTAAAAATTTTTATAATTGCTTAAGCACATAAAAAAAAAAAGGCTCATTTTGTAAAAACACTACACACAACTCACACATCTACACATACAAATAGCAGAATTAGAATTAGAATGCTTTATTGCCATTGTACACAAAATACAACGAAATTGCAGAGCTTCTGCGTAAGATGCTTAGGTACATAATAAACAGAAAAGAGACTAAAAAGGAATATGCATAATACAGAGAGCTGTACAATTAAAATATATTTAAACTAAGACTAAGAGAATAAAGATAATGGAATAGAAAAAAAATGCTTGTATATAAAAATTAATAAATAGAAAGTAGTAGCTTGCTAAAAAAATTATTGCACTGATATGAGGTACACTTCTGGCTCTGAGTAGAAGTATTTCACATTGCACTGAAGGAATGGGGATATAAAAACATTGCACTAAAAAAGATATTGATATTGCACTGGAACATAATGCTGCCCTGCACTGAAGGAATAAAGATATAGAAAACATTGCACTAAGAACAAAAATAGAGATTGCACTGGAATAATACACATATAATACACATATTTCACTGAGTAAGATGGGGGGTGAAAAGATGAACACAGTGCATGTGTGTGTTCAGTGTGATTATAGCTCTGGGGAAGAAACTGTCCTTAAGTTTATTTGTCCGTGATTTGATGCACCTGTAGCGCCTTCCGGAGGGCAGCAGGTTGAACAGGTGGGAACCAGGGTGAGAGTGGTCTTTTTCAATGTTCTGTGGTCTGCTGAGGCAGCGGGAGTTGTAAAGGTCCTTCAGAGAGGGAAGAGGACAGCCGATGATCCTCTGCGCGATGTTGATGATCCACTGAATTCCCTTTCTCTCTGCCTCAGTACATGGGCCATACCATACTGTGATACAGTATGTCAGTAAACTCTCCACTGTATAGCGACAGAAGGTCTCTAGCAGCTTCTCCTTCAAGTTGTTCTTCTTCAACACTCTCAGGAAGTGAAGGCGCTGCTGTGCCTTCTTGATGACTGCTGTGGTGTTGGCTGCCCATGTGAGATCTGCTGAGATGATGGTGCCAAGGAATTTGAATGTCTGAACCCTCTCTACGCAGTCTCCACTGATGTAGAGGGCAGCGGGGTCTGCCCTGTGCCTTCTAAAGTCAAGGATGATTTCCTTTGTTTTGGTGGTGTTGAGTGTCAGGTTGTTGGCTGAAAACCACGCTTGACAATCTCAGGATTTCATCTCTATAGGCAGCCTCATCCCACTTTGAAATTTGACCCGCCACTGTAGTATCATCAGCGAATTTGAGGGGGGAACTGAACTGTACAGAACTGAACTGTAGCTCCAGTTCGTCCATTTTGTGAGCCATGGATCTTGCTTTGGTAAGAAACATGCTTGGTAGAGGAGGCTTGTGTGGTTGTTTTCTGAGTCTCGCCAGAAGGCCGGCCCGGCAGCCCTGCTTTTGTTTCCTTTCCTGACACCGTCTGCGCCGTCTGCCAGGGCCGACAACAATCCACTGAGATCGCGGTGGTCTGACAATGTCCATTGGAATATTATGAGTGCGATGAAAGTCACGTGTGACTGTGATCTTGTGTTGAAATCCGATGTCTAATAAGTCCTGGTGGCTATAATTATACTTCACAGAAGCAACAAATGAAAAACACACGAGAAAACAAACAAAAACACACCAAAAGCGAGAGCTGTAAGCCACTGCGTCCGTACGCGCCACCATCTCATCTCAGTTCTTTTGCAAAATAAAACACTTCATTCAAAACTTTACAATAATATAACAAAAAACAATGTTGACACCGTATGGAACACACAAGGTTCATACAATATGATTCGGTTTGATTCATTTACACACTGCTGTTCTCAATCTTAAACACTTGTAAAATTTCAAATTTTCTAATGATATAGTCTGGGTTTGATTTTTTTCAGAGATATTGCTTGAGTAATGTACATGAATATATTGACCAAACAGTAAACACAAGACCAGTACTGCATATTGATGAAAATATTTATTTCTCTCCAACCATTCAATTCATCCATACATTTTCAAAGGACGCATTTTGCACTGAAAATCAGAACAGTCTAAATACAATATAGTACACAAACAAAAACATTTGTGGAGACACAACAAAAGCATGATTTTAAATAAAAAAAAATTTAAAAACACACCTACGTCTCATCTCTTCGCCCAGCTGGATCTGGCCTTAGCACTTCATCCACATCACAGGCGATGTCCTCTCTCACAAGACAGCGAAGGAAGAATCTTCTTGAATGGCGAATCCATCCTTGCACAGACCCTGCATCAATTAGGTCACAGGCCTCCTCCATGGCTTGAATGAGGGGTATCCTGACATTGGGCTGGAGATCGTAAACCTTCCACCGCCATGCTGTAAAAAACTCTTCAATGGGGTTAAGGAAGGGAGAGTATGGTGGGAGGTATTGGAGTGAAAATTGTGGATGATCACGAAACCAGTTTTGGACCACAGCAGATCGGCGGAAAGATACATTGTCCCAGATGTATCTCATCTGCTCTGCATCCATTTGTTCTTCTGCTGTGACAATATTGTGTAGTCTGTCTAAAAATGTGAGAATGTGGGCCGTGTTGTAAGGACCTAACTTGGCATGGCAGTGGAGGACCCCATTCTGCGTGATTGCAGCACACATTGTGATGTTGCTCCACATTGGCCAAGGACATTCAAAATAGCTAAATGATGTTTCTCCCTCTTCTTCTTACTTTAGTCAGGTTAAACCCAGCCTCATATATGAAGATAAATTCATGTGGGATTGGATCAGCATCAATTAGCAAAACTCTGGAAAAAAAAAAGACAACATGTAAAAAGATTCTGTGCAATGCACAATACTGAAGTGTACATTACTTACCTGCACATATTCATGCCGTAGGTCTTTTACTCTTTCAGAATTTCTTTCAAATGGCACTCGGTAGAGTTGTTTCATCTGTATGTGATGTTTTTTTAAGGATTCGTGTTGATAAGAGAGAACAGTGTTGATAAGAGAGACCTGATGGACATTACAGTTTTTCTCGATTGCTAACACACTATAACTGATTCATTTGGCCCAATTTTCCAAACCATTCATACAGTTCTCGAAACAAAGACAAGTTTCTCAAAACTTTTAACACATTTCACCTGTTTGCACACACATTCCAATTTGCTCAGTGTTTTCTGCAAAACTCTACACAAAAACGCCATATTTTGCACAGGGTTAACCATGTTCTCATTCAGAAAACACAAACACACAATATAATTAATTCAAGCATCAAAAAATGAACTCAAACAGCGCGCATTTATCCATGTGTGAACATTCAGTAGCAAAACTGATAACACACCCGTCAGAATCTTACAGTTTTTCTCAGTCGCTTTGGAGCATTCTTAATATTTGCAAAAAAGTATGTGCATTTCTCAAAACAATTCGTACAAACAGCACCACACAATGGATTACCTGCAAAAGCCTGTAACTTACTCAAAATCTTTAGTTCATCTCTCAAAAGTAAGTATTTATATCAATGAACATATCAGTGCCATCAGAATGAAAAGTACTTGTGCCATTGTTCACAAACAAGATAGTCAAAATGCTTAGTCATGTTGTCAATATAACACTGCAGGCACTTTGTTAGTATTACCTAAAGTAAACTATGGCAACATTTTGGATGACAGTTACTGTATTGAAAAGTATGCCATATGCTTATGTATGCCATATATCCATTTCAAAAGTACAAATTTACACATTACTGTATGTGGGATATTGATTCCCAGTTACACTTTTACTAGTGGTCTGACCAAGAAAAAAAAAAATACATTACAATGTCATTGTGATAAAGAAAAGGAAAAAGAAATATGGGCACAAAGATGAAAATAAAAAAAATTAGAAAGTCCATAGTCAGAATTTGTAACTCTTGTGTTGTCCTCTGTCTATACAGTATATGCTTTCCAACTGAAGATTCATGAGATGCACCTTTGAGCTATTTCAGAGAACTGGCTTGTCATTGGTTGATCTACATTCTCTTCATTAGTGAAAGTCAAGATTCACTTGCACAATTCATGCCAAATTTACAAAAAGTTGAATAATAATGTGTAAAAAATGTGCTTGACAGTTTATGACAACTAGATGAACCATTTTGCATTTAATGATTTATACTATGAATTAAAGACTAGATGTTTTGAGGGGTAAGACTATTGCACAGAAAACTATATAATAGATTTTGAGCAACGACATTAGCAACTGATAATGTATTATAATGTATTATATAGATAAATGTACATAACCAATCGCATGAATGTACCAAAGCAATCGCAACTTGTTCAAAAGAATGAGAAACTGCTTTTATGATGTGTACAAATGACTAGATGATGTGGAGGTTGAACAAGTAGTCTTGAGAATTTCATTTCTGAGTTGAGAAATGCACGAAAAAAACTGTAACTCTTGTGTTGTCCTCTGTCTATATGCTTTCCAAATGAAGGTACATGAGATGCACCTTTGAGCTATTTCAGAGAACTGGTTTATAATTGGTTGATCTACATTCTCTTCATTAGTGAAAGTCAAGATTCACCTCCAAAATCCAAGGCAAATTTACAAAATTCTAATAGAAATGTGTATAAAATATGCTTGACAGTTTATGACAACTCATAGATCAAGATCAACCATTTTGCATTTAATTGCTTATACGATGAACTAATGACTAGATGTTTTGAGTGGTAAGACTATTGCAAAGAGAACTATATAATACATTTTGAGCAACATGACATTAGCAACTGATAATGTAGGAAAATACAGACAAATATACATAATCATTTGCATGAACGTACCAAAACAATCGCAACTTGTTCAAAAGAATGAGAAACTGCTTTTATGATGTGCACAATTGACTAGATGATGTGAAGGTTGAACAAGTAGGTTTGTGTGTCATCTGAGGCCAAAGTTTGGGTCTGACAAAAGAGAATATGCTTTTGACTAAAGTATTTGATTTTGACCTGGAAGTTTGACGTTTGCACAAATTGGTGTGTAGTTTTGAGACTGTGTTTATAGTTGTGAGAAAATGGTAAATTTTTTCATGAATTGTGTGTTAGCAATCGAGAAAATTGTATTGAAAACTGTGTGGTCGTTCAAGATGTTTGTCTTAATTTCTCTGAGACGTATCGCATTATTGGCCAAAACCATGTTTATGGTCGCTCCATCTTGTTCCTCTGTGAATATGGGCCTCCTTCCTCCTCTACATTCTCGACCCTCAATCCTATGTAGATCAATCAAAATACATGTTACTGTAAATGTCACAGGACAGCACACAATACATTGTTTCAAACATGGAACACAGTGAATGGTACCAAATACTGTAGTATAGGGTGACCATACGTGCCATTTTCCCAGGACGCGTCCTGGCCAGGATTTGTTTTGGCTTTGTTTTCCTGTTTTCATGCTTGCTGAAGGTAATGATCGAAAAGTAGTTTGACCAATAACATGCAAGCATTGTACATAATGGACCAATCATGGCGTGTGAGAAGGTGGGATCTACGGTCAAAGCGATGCAATTACGCGTAAATATTAGGTGTGTTCGACTTAAAAGCAGCACGGCTCAGACCGATCAGTGTTTGACATCAAAGTACCTCGAGAGCGTTTAGAAAGCATAACCGTCTATATGGTACTTTGATGTCATACACCGATCGGTCTGCACACGCAAACAAAGCCAAAACCTAGATATTTTAGGAAATATAGAAATCCTGGCCAGAACGTGTCCTGGGAAAATGGCACGTATGGTGGACGCGTCCTGGGAAAATGGCACATATGGTCACCCTACTGTAGTACTGATAGAGGTCATATAGTAGGCCATATTGTACTGTAGACAGTAGAGAAAAGTTGTATTATTTACCTGTGCTCTTGTCAAAATGTCCAAATTACTGTAGTAACAGTATATCTGCTGAGGTTGGGCTGAACTCTCTGTCCAGCTTCTCTAGATGTCAACCCATGGTTTACAACATGGTCAACCAAGGTTGCTCGAATCGCATCTGATAAATTTGGTCCCCATCTTCTTTGTCCACGTCCTCCTCCAGGTCTCCCTCTCCCTCTCGACCCTTCTTCATCCACGGGCTCCCCCTCTCATCCTCACTCTTTCTCTTCCTCTTACTGCGACATTGCCTTCCATTTTTATTGAAGACAGGTGTTGTGTTGTGTGAATCATTGTGATACTGAGTATGGTCGCTAGAGGGCAGTAAAAAAACCTAATAAGAGACCTAGAGGGGTGAGGAAGAAAGGGAATGGTTGATGATATGGTAATGTTTACTGATGCTTCCGACATTAAAGACAACCGTTTGGAGTTAGCTTTTGTTTTTATTATTTTTTTACATCTTACAACATCACAAATTGGCGACGAGGATACCCCGCACTGCAGTTTTGTTTTGCTGTTGCTCTCAAAATGTCTGTTAATGTTCCTGCGCCAGCAATGTTTTTGCCCTGTCTGGGGGAACCAGCAATGCCTTTTGACATGTGGCTGCGTATGTTTAACAACTACTTGCTAGTGATTAATGCGACGGGGGATGCTTGGCTTTGTTTTGACTACGATGTCGTTTACAAGCCAGGTTCACAAAATCATACAGCAGACTGCCTTTCACGTCTCCCTCTGCATGTGCTAGTGAATCTTTCTACAGATGTGGAACCTGAACATGTAGCTCTGATTTCTTCCACACCGAGTTTCCTTCCGGTCCCTGACTTTGACAGTGCTTGTTCCTCATGTTCAGAAATGGTGGCTCTTAGTGAACATGTTCTGAGGTTCATGAATGTGAAATCATTTAATTTCAGTGGTAAGGAAATTTTGTCAAAGAATGTTAGTTATGTGTTAGTTATATGTTCAAACAGATGTCACCTTCTTTTGTAACTACAGTTGCAGGCTTTATTGCAATAATTTCATAATACGAAAAGTGTTCAGTTACTGAAGTAGTGTTCTTAACAGAGAGGGAAGATAGATTGTTCTGTGAATCATTGTGATACTGAGTATGGTCGCTAGAGGGCAGTAAAAAAACCTAATAAGAGACCTAGAGGGGTGAGGAAGAAAGGGAGTGGTTGATGATATGGTAATGTTTACTGATGCTTCCGACATTAAAGACAACCGTTTGGAGTTAGCTTTTGTTTTTATTCTTTTTTTACATCTTACAACATCACAACAGGTAAACTCACATGTTGCCTTTTTATAGTGCTTACAACTGATTGTTGAGTTTACAATTAAGCACCTAAGTGTCTGCACACCTGACGGCCATGTTTGATCAATTTGTTTATAGGGGTGGCATTTTGGAAAGCAGTGCCTTGAAATGGCAAAGAAGTGATATTGGCCCGGTTTCATAGACAGGGCTTAGCCTAAACCAGGATTAGGCCATAGTTCAATTAGGACATTTAAGTAATTTTTATAAACATGCCTTAGAAAAAAACATTACTGGTGTGCATCTTGAGACAACACAAAGGCACTGACATGTTTTAAGATCAGTCAGTGCAAGTTTCTTTCAGTTGAAACAGCTCATTTACATTTTAGTCTAGGACTAGGCTTAAGCCTTGTCTGTGAAACTGACAGCCCTAGAATATATATATATATATATATATATATATATATACTGCTCAAAAAATTTAAGTAACACTTTTTAATCAGAGTATAGCATCAAGTCAATTAAACTCCTGGGATATTGATATGGTCAGTTAAGTAGCAGAGGGGGTTATTAATCAGTTTCAGCATTAACAACAGGTGCATTAGATGGGCAACAATGAGACGACCCCCAAAACAGGAATGGTTTACAGGTGGAGGCCACTGACATTTTTTCCCCTACTCATCTTTTCTGACTGTTTTTCACTAGTTTGCAACTCGTCCAGGATGGCACATCAATATGTGCCATTGCCAGAAGGTTTGCTGTTTCTTCCAGCACAGTCTCAAGAGCATGGAG